ATAGTTAGGGCTGATTAGATTCAGCCCCTAGTTTTGCTGATATAGGCCTACTGTAGTTTATCTGGGGACATCTTCCTTCTGTCTGTCTGTACCTGTGTACTCTCATGTTCCGAATAACCAAGCTTCCCCAAATGTCTTTTTGGTGTCTATCTACGCCGGGTTCCTGAGTCGTGGCTGATCCTGTTGCTGCGATCCTGTGTCCTGGATCATGTGTTCTGGATCCGGAGTCCTGGATCCTTAGTCCTGGATCCTCTATCCTGAGTTCTGGATTTGAGTCCTGGAATTCGAGTCGTGGCTGAACCTGTCACTGTGGTCCTGCCTGACTCTCACCATACTACTTCCCTGATGGCTCCCACAGGATTGTTGACATCCTCATGGATTCATCTTATTATTATAGACACATGCATTTCCAAACATTTGGTCTACCTACGCTGTCAAATGTATTATCTCTTTGATTTACACACGGCATCTATTCCACGTCTGTCCGTCCTGGGAGAGGGATCCCTCCTCTGTTGCTCTCCCTGAGGTTTCTCCCATTTTCCCTTTAAACTGTGGGGTTTTCTCTGGAAGTTTTTCCTTGTACGATGTGAGGGTCTAAGGACAGAGGGTGTCGTATTGTCATACTGATATTCTGTACAAACTGTGCACTGAGACAAATGTAACATTTGTGATATTGGGCTATATAAATAAACATTGATTGACATTGATTGATTGATAGTTTGAGTTAAACTGAGGAAATGAAAATTGTGTAGTTACTGTACATGCGGAAGTTAAGTTGTCAACATAAATAAGTCAACAACTTCTGGGTGAAAGTCCTTTGTTTTTTTACCTATCCATCCGCCCCAAACTCCTCTAGCAGTGGACTTTCCCGCTTTTTCCACCAAAACAATTTATCTGAGCGCCTTATGTTACCACAACGAGAAATTAAATGCAAAACATGCGTTGAAAAAGCATGCGAATGATATAGGAAATGTGTGTTATTCATTCAATACTAGTTGAACATTACATTTTTACATTTGTATGTGTTTTTTTGTATATGTTTCTATTCATTGTGCTTTTTATCATGTTTAATTATTGTTTTATTATTGTACTCCCATTGTGTTATTTAATATTGTTGCCTGTACAGCACTTTGGTCAACTGAAGGTTGTTTTAAATGTGCTATATAAATAAATAAAGATTGAGATTGAGATTCAGCATCTGGTGACAGCAGGCTGGGAAACGGCAAGTCTCTCTGGACAAAACCATCTGTTAAGTCATGTACTTTATTGTAATGTCATTTATATTCAGCCTCATGTCACGCCCTCACAATGGTATGCCATGTGGAGCTGCCAGAAAGAGAGGGTGAAAGTGAAAATGAATGTCAGGAAGAAGGGAGACATAGAGAAATATATGGATTGATAATAGGAGATGTTGAAGGTGAAGGATAAACTGAGTGCTAAATAAATAAAATAGAAGTGTAGAGTATTGTGGAAGTGATGAGACAAATGGAGAGAGACGAAGAATAATTAAGGAAGACATCAGGATGAATCAATCAGGACACTAAGTGACTGCAAGTAGCCATTAAAGAGAGTGAGTCCTTCCAAGAAGAAGGATGTTTCAGCAAGCGCTCCAAAAACAAACACATTTACGTCCAGGCGACGAAGCCGTCTAGAGCCTGCTGCAATTATGATATGAAGAACTCAGGAGACACTGTGTTCTGTTGCGGCAAAGTCATCGAAGATAAAAAGCAGATGCGTTAAAGGAAATGTAGACACCGTGTCTCTTTGATGTTGTTTGTCCACCGGAGAGTGCTGACAAGTTGTATTTTCTATTGTAAACTTCCCTCTTGGTATACATCGTTAAAATTATTTAATGACTACATTTAAGGAAAAATGTACAATACAGTGTTTTTACTGTCATGTACCGGGAAGTTGGCAACTGATTCTCCATAAGATTTATAAGAAATGTTATGAACCTTAGTAGTCAAATAGATCCTATTTCTGTATATTTTACAACGTTTTTTAACTATTCAAAGTGTATTTACAGTTTGTATTAAGTTAACAATGCATGCATATGATTTCAATGTGGCTGTGTTTGTTAAATCAATGAATGAGAGGCCTGATTGTATTTTCATCAATGATACAAATTGGGTTTCAATATTGATTGACACTAAGCCCTACCTTAGCTTTAGCCCCTTTTTTTCAGTGTCCACAATCATTAATGAAAAGTGATGTAATCTCTACGAGACACGAACATCTCACACACACACACACACACACACACACACACACACACACACACACACACACACACACACACACACACACACACACACACACACACACACACACACACACACCTCCTCAAGTGTGAAGGTAGATCCAGACAGAAAAGGGATCCAGATATTGTAATAGCCTCTTAATGGGGTCTACTGTAGCCCACAGCTGCTGCCTGCCTCAGGTCTATGCTGCCCCCCCCCTCCCCCTTTCCCCCCGGGCCCTTTCAGCCTGTCCTGCTGCTCGGTCTTCCTCCCTGAGGGCTCACAGTGCTGTTAGGCCACCATTAGTTCTGCTAATGGGCCTGACAACTGCGCCACATCCGCAGCATTTAGACCTCCTCTGTCTGAGATATGGATATCGGCCACTTCAATGGAAATGGAGAGTAGGGGGAGAGGGTGGGAGTCAATTTGATATGTACGTGTAGGCATGAAAGTTATGTACAAACACACCCACACACTCACAATATGCTTAGTGTAGCCACTGCATGAGCACAGACCTTATTATGCACTCTGACTCAAATCAAAAGTTTGACTCACCGGTAATCTTGTAAGTGAATGTTTGCTGTATGACTATCAGTTTGTTCCTGATTAAGTCGGAAACAAAGTCCATCTATGGTGTGTGTGTTTGTTTTCATTTCCACTGACAGGGTTCATGTTTAAATTTCAACTTCAACTAACTTGTGAGAAATATGTAAATCAAAAGGAGCAAAGTGACTCAATGTCTTCTCATCCATACACCAAACTCTGCCAGAAAGACTGTTTCCTAACTGGATTTTTCTTTTATTTCTTCTTTTTATGTAAACAAAGCAAATGATACATGAATCATCTGAGTGAGTGAGAGTTCTGCCTGATAATAGAAATCTTGTGTATTGAAGAAATCAACTCCTCTACACAACTTCTCAAAATAAGCTTATTTAATATTCAAACTAAAACTATTCCTTGATACAGGCATTTTAACAAGCAAAAATGACACATTAACGATTTACTCCTTTATCTGGCAACAATTTGGTAAGGTACGGTTGGTAAAGTTATCTGTATATTAACATTTGTAAAATGCAATGGTTTTACTTCTTTAAAAGTTAAGTTATATTTTCATACTAAATATTTCTTAATTGTCCTTGAATGTAACTGAATACTGCTGGTTTTAAGACAGATGGTCATACAATAAATAATTTTGAATAGGTCAGTTGGGTTTTTAGGAAGTATGTACAGTATGGGCATTTTACAATCTTTGATCTTTCTTCCGTTTCTCTTTCTGCACTTTACCAGAAACCATTATCAAAAGCCTCAGTCTAAATCTCACCAAGATACAGTTCACAGGAAATCTTCAACAACCAGCAGGTAGAGATAACAGATTTTTACTAAGAATAAAATCTTCATTTACTTACTTAATCAAACACAGACCTCAATGTTAGTTTCTGCTTAATCCGTCTTAAAGAGTCTTTGGGTTCAAGAAAAGCGCTATAGAAATATAATTTATTATGATTATTAATCCACTAGGCCTTACAACAGGATGGTATGGCACTTGCGGAGTTAACTCTGATACCGGCGGTGTCACTGCTATGTTTTCCCAGCTGAAAAACAACATTTGTGGAGGAAATCTTCTGACGTTGCTGTTCTATATTTTATAAATGAAGAGCAATCTTCAAGAGCAGAATATCTTGGCACAATGTGCAGCTGAGTACTTTTACTCTAAATTAATTCACCAGGAAAGCACTGGCAGACAGACAATGGCCCTGCATAGTAAGCTTTGCCTGCCTCACTTGATTAATTTCATGCAAGCGCCAACCGCACAGAGGAAAGCCTTGGGGAAGCTTTAACCAGCGCCTTCCCGTGTCTGTCATTATGTACAAGATATGTGCTAAGTGACTAGCTTCATCATCCAAAAATAACAACATAATCTACTACTCAGTCTCTTTCAGCAGCTCAGACTCATCACTGTTTTTATAGTGGATGATGATGATGATGATGATTTTCTATATTTGTATTTAATGCGACTAAAGTGCCAAACCGGGTTAACAACCAAAAATACAGCTCAGTAAAGTGCTCAAAAATGTCATTCCATTTCAAGATTGCGACATATTTTACCACTTGGCGTTGGACAAAACCTTCTACCTTCTCTCCCAAGCACTGCAGATAATATCTTCTACAAAGACAGTCCCTTTTTGAAGGACAACACAAGCCATTACAGTCCGAGAGCCAAAATAAATCCACATAAAAAGGGGTCGTTTTAGTAAATCACATATCTTATGTCCTCATAGAAAGAGCAATAAAACACAAAGTTAACCTCATTCTCAATTACACCTTGCTAGAGACTGTATATGGTATGTCCTCCTCTGGAGTGGCTTTAAACCTGCCAGTTTCTTACTTGTAATGTAGCTGAGCATATACTATAGGGTAAATACATATTATTCTGAATCCAAATCTGTTATTTAGCAGCTATTTCAATCACTGCACTTATTTGTTTTGCCTTTACAAATTGTGTTTGTTCACTGTCAAAGATGTGTTAAGATTTTTCCAAACAGTAACTAGTGCACATGTGGACAATCTTGCACATCAATGAGCTGGACGGTTTTAAAGTAATGAAATATCATGATTTTGCAAGATATTCAACAATAACAATAATAATAGCTAAGTGTCAAAATAGTCAACACTTGCACTTATTCGGAATTAATACATGTTGCTTATGTACAACATTCAAACAAAACAATATGGTGACAAATAAGGTTAAGAAGTTCTCACCTGCAGCCTCCGTCTTCGGATGATCCCAGAATCATCCATGGCGCGTGTCCGGGGTCACCTGTCGTAGTGTCACGTGGGCTCCTGTGGTTTCCAGGTGACGAGGGCGAGAAGACGCACCACTCTCGCGTGGCTTTCAGCGAGAGTCAATTTACTACTAAACCGAAATGCTTGGCGTTGTGTCGTCCGTTTTTAACATCACCAGCGAAAAACAGTGGTCAATTGCTGCTGTTTTGGTGAGGGTGGTCATTGAAAGCTTGCGAAAAAACGTATCTTGTCTCGCAAAAAAAAATATTTTACAATCAAAATATATAAAAGTGCTTAACCCTGGCACTTAGAGAGTGATGGAGACTGACATGGGCTGCTATGTGGTGGGATCTGCTGAATGAGAAGTCCAGCTGAGAGACACAGAAGAAGCCCAGACTGTCAGACTGAAGCTTATCAAAGCTCAAATAAGATGAAACAAATAAGTTTGCACACATCTGTCATCCCCGAAACATCTAGTATGAGTCACAGTTTTAAATAATAATATAAGAATTGCACCAGTTACAGCAAAATGCAACTATTGTCATCCTGTAAAATGCCCCTCTCACAACGATCCTCTCCTTGAAGCTACGGGCTGCAGAAATCCGCTACATACTACAGGAGTCCACGCCAGCTAAAGCACAAACACCATTTCTGGGCTGAGAAAGCTCCAGTGCATGCATGTACACGGAGTTCATAGCACGCATATTGCACATTATTGCCCAACTACAAATCTCGATTTTATGGCACATCCAGGCGCTGTCAAAGCTTTAAAAAAAAGGCGAGATCAATGACAATTTAGCGACTCTTTACGTCCCTCTGGTGATGCACACATCGGAGCTGAAAGCAGGTTGATCACTTCGCGTTTTCCTCCTTCGATACAAAGATTTGTCCGTGTTTCTGTCTTCTCACAGGTACACGATATGTTGTTCACTATGTTCTTCTCTGATGTAAGATTGATTTTCTCGCGTAACGATCTGTGGTCGCTGCACAGGCTTCGCTCCATCCTCAGCTCTTACCACCCACTTCCTACTACCAATACAAATGACGCTTAACCCTTCAGTCACCAGAGGCTTGCATCAGCTAGTGAAGAGGGTTTTGATAAACAAGTCTTTCGAGGTAACATTTTTAAAGGAGGACATTCATTTTTGCACAGCTCAGGTGCATCAGTAATATAATACAATAATTAACATCAAAAGGAATTATTGAAAATGATACAATTCAAGCAACAGTATAATAATGAGCTAAGTGATTAAAAGGTACCCTCTAATAAATGAATTGCTGTAGTCGGTTTTCAAGCAAAAACTAGAAATAGCACAGTGGCCGTGACCGATCAAGTTACCATTTACTCCCTCAGTTGGGCAAAATAACATTGTATTTGTACTGAAGACGTTGAAGGACTTTAATTTAAATGTGTGCTGTAGTGAATTTGGCAGTATACAGTTGCAAGAAAAAGTATGTGAACCCTTTGGAATTACCTGGATTTCTGCATAAGTTGGTCATAAAATGGAGGAATCCACTGCTGTCCAGAAAAAACATTGCTGCACGTTTGAAGTTTGCAAAAGGGCACCTGGATGTTCCACAGCACTACTGGCAAAATATTCTGTGGACAGATGAAACCAAAGTTGAGTTGTTTGGAAGGAACACAAAACGCTATGTGTGGAGAAAAAAAGGCACAGCACACCAACATCAAAACCTCATCCCAACTGTGAAGTATGGTAGAGGGAGCATCATGGTTTGGGGCTGCTTTGCTGCCTCAGGGCCTGGACAGATTGCCATCATCGACGGAAAAATGAATTCTCAAGTTTATCAAGACATTTTGCTGGAGAACTTAAGGCCATCTGTCCACCAATTGAAGCTCAACAGAAGATATGTGATGCAACAGGACAACGACCCAAAGCACAGAAGTAAATCAACAGAAGAAAATACGCCTTCTGGAGTGGCCCAGTCAGAGTCCTGACCTCAACCCAATTGAGATGCTGTGGCATGACCTCAAGAGAGCGATTCACACCAGACATCCCAAGAATATTGCTGAACTGAAACAGTTTTGTAAAGAGGAATGGTCCAAAATTCCTCCTGACCGTTGTGCAGGTCTGATATGCAACGATAGGAAACGTTTGGTTGAGGTTATTGTGCCAAAGGAGGGTCAACCAGTTATTAAATCCAAGGGTTCACATACTTTTTCCACCCTGCACTGTGAATGTTTAAATGGTGTGTTCAATAAAAACATTGTTTGTGTGGTTTTAGCTTAAGGAGACTGTATTTGTCTATTGTTGTGACTTAGATGAAGATCAGAACACATTTTATGAGCAATTTATGCAGAAATCCAGGTAGTTCCAAAGGGTTCACATACTTTTTCTTGCAACTGTATATCATAGCTGTTGCACATTGCACCCAACTAAATACACCTCCCTTCATCCAACACTTCACTAGAGCGCAGTAACATCTCCAGGGTTCGCAGTTGTAGTTTTACTAGTGCTTAGGAAGCTATGGTGGCCTTCAGATAACATAAAAACACTTTGGGGCCCTATTTAGATAAAGTGTTGCTTTTTTCTGTTCTGAGCTACCGTAGAACATGGCGGTGCAACATGGTGGACTCTGGGGAAGAGGACCCTATGTAGATATTAAGTGCTCGTTCTAAACTAACACAAACACAACAATCCTTAGTTTCAGGTCATTATACAATTATCAAAACAAAGACACAATTGTTGTATTCTATTTCTGCTCATACATTCCTGCAAACATTAAGCACAATATTAAGTGCATTTTTGGTAGCAGGTGACTTAGCACTATATACAGTATGTATGATACCAGTGAATAATTAAATGCTTACTTTATCAAGGCTATGTTCAAACTGTGGCCAAAGTGTCCTTAATCTGGTTTATGTCCATAATGTCTTTTGAAATCAAGGATATCTTTTGGGCCACAATAATATGTGTCACTCATCCAGATAAGGTCTGATTACGCTGCAATGCTTCCTTAGTCTGAACAGTCGTATCAGTCTTTGTACAACTTTCTTGTCACTCTCAGCTGACATTTGTTTAAATTGTGTGATACCAGGAGTCACTTGTGTATTCAAACATGGAAGACAGCTGCGATGGAGGAAAGTCAGTAGGAGAAAGTGAGATGTGAGAAATCATAGTTTATATGTGGGCTTACTTGTGGGTCTTATTGTAAGCATATTGTTTGAAAGAATAATACAAATGGGCCACAGAACAACGCCGCTGCAAGGCTTAAGTGCCTTAAAGGGGAGCTTAAAGAAGCTCAAGACTTAAATGAATGTTATGAATTATAGATGAAACCATAAGAGCCGACTTCAGTGACCCCTTGCTTCTGTAAGAAGTGTGATGCATGTGAAGTTTTGGTTTTGTTATTCTAGTGAGTGTGGGTCAGTGCTGGAACATGAAAAGTGCACTGGAATCTGATATTCACCACATTTAAAACAGCCAAACAAAACATCTTATCTGAGCAATACATTCAAATAAGGCTTGCAGTGTGAATGTAGTTTTAAAGACTATTTGTACAGTGCAAAGGACTGATTGAGGGCACTGCCACATTTTTAAATGAAAATGACCTGAAGCTCAATATCATCAAAACCAATGAGCTTATAGTCGACTAAGAGAGGAAAAAGAGGCCGCTTCCTGCCCTGTTGTCATCCAAGGAGAGGAAGTGAACAGGAAGCACTCATACAAGTACCTTGGGATCTAAACCAATACAAAACTTGTTTGGATCCACAACACTGCAGCGCTCTTCAGAAGGGACAGAGTAGGCTGTTCTTCATGGAGGATCAGGGCCTTCAGTGTGTGAAACAGTGACCTGTAGATCTTGTATCAGTCCTAGCCAGTGCTCTGTGCTCCGCTGTGGCGTTCTGGGGAGGTGGTGTCAAGCCTGGGAGATCAGCAGACTCAACAAGCTCTTAAAGAAGGCCAGGGGCGTTTGAACTTGACAGTAAGGAGGCAGTGGTGAGGAGGAGGAGGAGGAGGAGGAGGAGGAGGAGGAGACTTGAACATGGTCATTTTTGTTTTGTAACATTAAA